CAACAGGGGTCTCCAAACTATGGCCCTCCAGGTGTTGAGGAACTGCAAGTCCCATGAAGCCTTGCAAGACTTTGACAGCAACAGGCAAGACTCCCAGAGGCAGAGGCATGATGGGACTTGTAGTACTTCAGCAGCTGGAGGGCCATAGTTTAGAGACCCCTGGTCTACATGAAGATGGATGAGGATGAGTCAATCTACATCAAAAGGTGTATGGTGGTCTGCATGATATGTCAGTTTAAGGTACAAGGTGTATGGTGATCCCTGTGGTGACACCTCAATCTACATGGCAAGGTATATGATGGTCTGGGTGATATGTTAACCTACATTACAAGGTGTATGGTGGTCTGGGTGGTGACACCTCAATCTACATGGCAAGGTATATGGTGGTGTGGATGAGGATGAGTCAGCCTACATTATAAGGTGTATGGTGGTCTGCACAATATGTCAGTTTAAGGTACAAGGCGTCTGGGCACCTCAATCTACATGGGCAAGGGTATTGGTGTCCTGGGGATCTGGCACCTCAATCTACATGGCAAGGTATATGGTGGTCTGGGTGATGGCACCTCAATCTACATGGCTACATGATACAAGGTACAAGGTGTATGGTGGTCTGGGTGATGGCACCTCAATCTACATGGCAAGGTATATGGTGGTCTGGATGATACGTTAACCTACATTACAAGGTGTATGGTGGTCTGGGTGATGGCACCTCAATCTACATGGCAAGGTGTATGGTGGTCTGGGTGATGGCACCTCAATCTACATGGCAATGTATACATGGTATATGGTGTCTGGATGATGCGTTAACCTACATTACAAGGGTATATGGGTGATCTCGGTGGTGACACCTCAATCTACATGGCAAGGTATATGGTGGTCTGGATGATCCGTTAACCTACATTACAAGGTGTATGGTGGTCTCGGTGGTGACACCTCAATCTACATGGCAAGGTATATGGTGGTCTGGATGATCCGTTAACCTACATTACAAGGTGTATGGTGGTCTCGGTGGTGACACCTCAATCTACATGGCAAGGTATATGGTGGTCTGGATGATCCGTTAACCTACATTACAAGGTATATGGTGATCTCGGTGGTGGCACCAGAAATAAACGTGCATACATAGTAACCTACTGGAAAACCTCTGAAGGGTAGCCTTGTATATTGTGAGCAGCCTAACCTGAGCCAGTGGGCTCTTCTAATGTTTTTTCCGCTCTCACTACTTTCTATAAACTCATATCAAAGTCCCAGCACCTCTTGGATGGTTTTTTTTTCACTGAGTGGTGACATGTCAATCTACATCACAAGGCGTGCAGAGGTTTGGATGTTTCCAGTGTGCCGACATTGCTGGCTCTGCAGTGTAATCTATGAGAGTGTCTGCAGTGTGTTCTGTAGGAAGCGTTGTATTCCTGTGAGAATGTCTACAAGCTGTTAGGGCTTATGTCTAGATCTTCCCTGGTTTCGGCAGCTGGAAGTATGCGGGATATTGGCATAGGAGTGGTGATTGGTCGCTCTGGGGTTCCGCACTGTTACACTGCATTTTGCCTTCTTGTAATTTCATCATAGCTGTGAATTTTCTTCAATATCTGGGTTAAATATAAACGGGGTGCCTTTTGAGTTGCTGATCCGTGTGCCAAAAGTTTGAGAAAGTTCACTAGTGCTTAGTCCTGGTCAGTTACATCATAGATGGAAGTCTGAGGATTAGAATGATTGGGCGACCATTACTCTGGATAGGTTTCCTGTGCTGCTGGTCATACACAGGAGAATCTTCAGCCGATCTGAAAAACTTTTTAACCACTTCAGGTCCGGATATTTTCACCCCCTTCCAGTCCAGGACAATTTTCAGCTTTCAGCGCTATAACACTATGAGTGACAATTACTCAGTCATGCAACACTGTACCCATATGAAATTATTTTGAGGTAGATAGAGCTTTCTTTTGGTGGTATTTTATCATCACTGGGTTTTTTATTTTTTGCTATATTAATTAAAAAAGACAGAAAATTTAAAAAATATAATTCTTGCTTAGTTTTTGTTTTGAAATTTAGCAAAATACATTTTCTTCATACATTTAGGCCCACATGTATTCTGCTACATTTTTGGGGTAAAAATAACTGCATATTATTTAGCCTGTGTGAAAGCTATAGAGTCTACAAACTATAGGACCCTAAAATGCCGGACATTGATATGACATATGGCAGTGATCAGGGTTTGGGGTATGGTGGTGATCAGGGTGCTGGTATGGTGGTGATCAGGGCACTGTTGATCAGAGCGCTGGTTTAGGGTATGATGGTGATCACGGTGCTGGTATGGGGTAAGGCGAGGATCAGGCCAGGGCGCTGGTATGGAGTGTGGCGGATATCAGGCGCTGGTATGGGGTATGGCAGAGATCAGGGCACTGGTATGGGGTATGGCGGAGATCAGGGCACTGGTATGGGGTATGGTGGAGATCAGGGTGCTGGTATGGGGTATGGCGGAGTTTAGGGCGCTGGTATGGGGTATGGCGGAGATCAGGGCGCTGGTATGGGGTATGTCGGTGATCAGGTAGCTGGAATGGGGTATAGCGGAGATCAGGGCTCTGCTATGGGGTATGGCGGTGATCAGGGCTCTGCTATGGGGTATGGCGGTGATCAGGGTTCTGGTATGGGGTATGGTGGAGATCAGGGCTCTGGTATGGGGTATGGTGGAGATCAGGGCTCTGGTATGGGGTATGGTGGAGATCAGGGCTCTGGTATGGGGTATGGCGGTGTTCAGGATGTTGGTATGGGGTATGGCGGTGATCAGGGCGCTGGTATGGGGTATGGTGGAGATCAGGGCTCTGGTATGGGGTATGGCGGTGATCAGGGCACTGGTGTGGGGTATGGCGGTGATCAGGCGCTGGTATGGGTATGGCGGTGATCAGGGCATGTTGGTGTGGGGTATGGCGGTGATCCAGGTGCTGGTGTGGGGTATGGCGGTGATCAGGATGTTGGTATGGGGTATGGTGGTGATCAGGGCGCTGGTATGGGGTATGGCGGTGATCAGGATGTTGCTATGGGGTATGTCGGTGATCCAGGTGCTAGTATGGCGGTGATCAGGATGTTGGTATGGGTATGGCGGTGATCAGGGCGCTGGTATGGGGTATGGCGGTGATCAGGGCGCTGGTATGGGGTATGGCGGTGATCAGGGCGCTGGTATGGCGGGCTTCAGGGTGTTGGTATTGCGGTGATCAGCACATTGGTATGGTGTATGGTGATGTTTTTGTGCGCACTGGGACAGGTGACAGAGCTCGCTGCATTGTTTATTGTGCCTACACTGTGGCAGTGATCTGGGACCCTGGAGTGGCTGCTGTACACTCACAAGCTGCAGCATCGCTTCTCTCTGCTCTCACAGTGAGAAGCGATCTTTAGTTTCACTTTGCATTGTTTACTTTGTGAATGCTGTGATTGGACTCAGCAATCACATGGTAAAACACCATGTGATTGGCCAGACACAGCGGTAATGTGATCCGCTATATCTGAGCGATATACTGATCGTTGGGCTCCTGGGAGCACACTCTGTGGGTCGCGCAGGAGCTGCTGATGCTGGCCTGAAGTACAGATACATTAGCGGCAAACCTTCCCATCTGCAGTCTATAGTCTAAGGGCGGACAGGAAGAGGTTAATCAGGGGAAAATGACCAATCACATTAAGGCAGCCTGCTACAAATTATCCGTATATATATATATCAGCGGTTTTCTAAATCGTTATGCAAGATCATACTGTATATGTGGCCCCCTTCCTCCAGACGCTACGCTCTGCCACTCAGTGCTGCTCAATGGGCACATACACATTGGGTACTTACCAACCTCCAGCGTGTATTTGGCCACCGATCATGACTGTGGAGGCAAACCATCTGTGTCCGATCTCGGTCAGAGGCACTGATCATGTATGATTGTTCACCTGCAATCGGCTGCAGCACTAACCATTGATTTGGACTCAATAAACACCTTCATCCCTCAGCCTTTTAGGTCTCATTTACATGGATCCATCATGAAAAACGAGTGTATGTCTGCACCCAGTACTAACATGCAGAAAAAGGTGCATGCACACAGCCGCCTACGCAGATCAATGACAGGATGCTGCACTATGCTGGTAACTGCGGATCTGGGTGTAATTGTTTGGAGAAGGGTGCTTTCACACTGTCCAGCTGCGGTTTGACTGCAGCGCAGTGTCCCCACTGTTGTCATGCAGGTTTCCCATAGACTTCTATTGTGTCTCACATATTTGAAGCATTTTCTGAAGTGTAACAAAAGTCCTGCATGCTGCATCTTTGGTGCGCTTTCAGAAAAATGCACCAGAAATGCGGGACACAATAGAAGTCAATAGTAAAGCTGTGGTACACCTGCACTGTGGCCAAACCGTAGCAGGGCAGCGTGAGAGCATCCTAAAGTGATAATAAACTGTGTTTTTAAAGCATTTTCAGTAGCTGATTTAATCACTCACTGAGTATGCAGCTTCTTTATATAACCCTGGTTCACACTGATGCGGTGCAAAATTCACATCGGTGTCTGTGCGATTTCCACACCGCATCATAATCGCACACTGTTCATACGAACCGCTGTGGGTGTGTATTTTAAGTTAACGACACCCTGAAATCAGTTTGCAAAACGAGGTGCTATGTGCAGAATTGGATCCCATGGATGCGATCTGATTCTGGTGCAGACAAAAAAGGTTCCTGCACTTCTTTGGTGCGGATGCGGTGTGATTTGACCCATACAAATTGATGCACACAGAAATTGCATGAGATTTGTGCAGGAATGGGGTGCGGTTCCTGTGTGAATCACATGCAATGTGCCGCACCGCATCAGTGTGAACCAGGGCTCAGGCTCCATGCACACTAGCATAACAAAAACGCCAGTGCTCTTGGCAGAAATAAAACTTTAATGTGGAGCATTTTATGTACTAGTGTTTAGCCACTTCCCGACCGGCCGTTGCATATAAACGGCCGCACGGTGGCACTGCAGGGTCGGGTGGCCGTTTATAAATGGCCTCCCCGCACCCTGCTTGTGCGCGCTCCCTGGGAGTGCGCAGCACCGCGATCCGGTGCCCGCTGTGTCCTCCAGGCATAGTGAAACACTGATCGTCGGACGGGACCTCTGTACGAGGTCCCGATCATGTGATCACTGATTGGCCAATCAGTGATCACATGCAAAGTAGTAAGCAAGATGTCACTTGTGACATCATTGCTTACTACATGTGAAATCTGTGAATGATCACAGAGGTCACATGGTACAAGGCTATTCACAACAGCCTTGTACCATGTGACAAGCTGTGACCAATCACAGCTCACTCAGTACTTCGCAAGAATGCAGACAGAGAGGAAGAGAAATGAATGCTTTTACATCCTATATGGGTGTAAAAGCAATCAGTGTAAAAAAAAAAAAAAAAAAAAATCATCACCCCCCCACAAGTAGTACAGTGTCACCATGGTGACACTGTACTGCTAGGGTGACAGTATGTAAAAAATAAATAAATAAATAAAAAATAATATAAAAAAATAAAATAAAAATGTAAAAAAAAATGTTTAAAAATTATAATTTTTGGTTATAAACTAATTTGGATTTTTCTTTTACTAAAAAGATAACGGAATAAATTTTGGCAAAGATTTATGATGAAATATTATTTATTTGCAACATTTTTATAAAAAAAAACTTTTTTTCAAAATTTTTGGACATTTTCATTTACATAGCAAAAAAAAGAAAAATCCCAGCGGTGAATAAATACCACCAAAATAAAGCTTTATCTGTGTCAAAAAAATGGTAAAAAATTCATTTGGGTACAGTGTTGCATGACCGCGCAATTGTCATTCAAAGTGTGATAGCGCTGAAAGCTGAAAATTGCCGTGGTCAGGAAGGGGGTAAAAGTGTCCGGACTGGAAGTGGTTAGGAGCCTTTAGCGTGTTTTTTTTTTTCTGCCAGAAAAATGCTCTCAAAAATGCAAATCAGAAGGGTGTTTTTTCCGCCTCTAAAGCTGAGCTTAAAAAAACGCCTCTAGACTACCTAATGTGCATGAACACATAGGATAACATTAGTTGCTTCTACAGGCAAAACACTAATCTCCTCGAGGAGCAGCGTTTTCATAACTCAGTGTGCATGGACCGGTAATCCTTGCCTGTGTTCCAGTTTAAAGGATAAGCTCACCTTTTGACAAAAAATAATAAATGCACTTTTTTTGCAGATAAAAAAATGTGCATTTTATTATTTTTGGTTGCAGGAGCCTGGAAATCATTACACCAGCAATCAGTAGATTGCTGGTGCCATGCAGGTCTCCTGCTGATCTGTCAGTATATCTGCATGCCTGTCCATCCTGTACGCTGACCGCAAGAATCAATGAACTACTATAACCCTCACACCGCCATGGTAGTTCATTGAGAACTACATGCCAACAGCAGCTAAGGCTGTTGGGGCTTGTAGTTTTCTCATTCACAGTAGACCGTGAATGAGTGATGTGGCTGGGTGGGCGGAGCCCCGCTCTGCTGCATTTTTAAAAAAATGTCAGCTAATAGGGGGAAATGTCCCTCAGTAGCTGTCAACGCAGGGGAGTCGGAAGGAGTGGGGCTGGTCCTTTCATAACATGTTCCATTGTACATCCATATTCAGGGTGTAACATGTTTTGAAAGGTGAACTTATCTTTTAGGGTGGTGCCCTGACTGCTGCCCCAGATTTCCTCTTTCAGAGTGGCACCTTCCTTATGTGGCATCCTTTAGAGCCACCCTTGCATGCAAGGACTAGAGTTGTGACTCCCTACACTGTGTGCATCAATAGAAACACACAGCCCCATAGTTTAGAATGGCAAGACACTCCCTTGCCCCCCCCCCCCTTTTCCAAGCTGGTTCCAGACTGCAACTCTTTCCGGTGAAGGCCAAAAACTCATGGAAGCAGCACTGAGAGAGCAGGAACCAGCAGTATTCAAATTCTAAACTACAAATGGGTTGGGGTCCCTTTTGCATCATTTTAGTGCCTAATAACCAATTCCCGACTACACTATAGCCAAAAGACAGCTACAGCGCGGTCTGCTTGTTCTGGGAGGGTGTCCATGAACGGTCTCTCCGAGAACCGCACCCCCTAGAGCGCGCACAGTGCACAATCTGTGAACGGCTGATCATGTGTCCAAGTAAAGGGCAAATCAGAGCTGCCTTTTACCATGTAAGCAGCTGTGTCCAATCACAGCTAATCACAGTATAAATAGGAGATGCCGGTTATTGGCAGTCTTCTCTTCACGCTGGCAGCGCATGAGCAGAGGAAAGCCAGTAAGTGGCATTTCTCAGGGGAACATCTACACTGATCAGTGTAGCCCCATCAGTGCTGTCAATAGTGCCCATCTGTGCTGGCTTTCAGTGCTTCCTCCATGCTGGCTGTCAGTGCCCGTCAGTGATGCCTATCTATGCCGCCTATTAGTACTCAGCAGTGTTGCATATCAGTGTAGCGTATCAGTGAAGGAGAAAAGTCACTTATTTACAAAACTATATAACAGAAACTAAGAAATTTTTTTTTAATTTTTTTCAACATTTTTGGTCTTTTTTTTTTTGTTTAACAAAAAATAAAAACCCCAGTGGTGATTAAATACCACCAAATGAAAGCTCTATTTGTCTTAAAAAAATTATATAAATGTCATATGTATACAGTGTTGCATGACCGCGCGCAATTGTCAGTCAAAGTTCAACTGCGCTGAAAACTGGTCTGAGCAGAAAGGGGGTGAAAATGCCTGGTAGGCAAGGATGTAAAGACAGCTTTAGGGCATAAGATTGGAACATTTCGAGTCTTGTGGATGGAAGTATAACTTTGGGAAGGAAGTAGTTACACTAGTATGATAAATCTTGTGACCGAGCCGCGGGGTATGGGAACCAGTAAGGACAAGATTTTCAGTGGTGATCATCCGAACTGATTTGTTGTTGGGTTGCAGTTATTTATTGCACTTTCATCATATTGCATTTTTCATGGGGCCCCTAAAAATAAATGTATGAAAGGAAGGGGTCTTGTGACTTTGCACAGGCTCATGGTCCTAATAGTGTGTGTATCATGTTTAGTGGACAGTAATCACCATTTATTTTTTTTATTTCAGGTACTTCTATATGTCCACAGATCTTATGTGTTCTGATTGTTGACATTGTGACTGCCCTATACATTGCCATCCTTACTATACCGTCTATAGGTGATTGCCAATCTATAGGAGATTTCTATCTTTTGACGACTTGGTCTTCACTGTTTGATGCCATGTTGAAAATTTGTCTTCTGTATTATTAATTTGGTAAAAATACAGATGGGATGCATACACTTTAACTTGCTACTTAGTCTCTGACCCTGATGAGCAATTATACATTCTATAGACCAGAAGGTTTTCAGTTTAGTCTGTTTTGTCATATTGCCTTTCAAATGACTTATGCTGAACTTTGTAGACGTTATTCCGGCATTCTTATATGCATGTAAAATTCTTAAAACAAAGAGTGTTTAAAAAATTAAGAAAAAATTAAAAAATCATTGTAGGCCTGAAGATTAGTTAAAGCCTCCAAACATCATTGTCAGGAATGGACTCGCCAATGGTGGTGGGACTCACCTGCCTTGTGGGCTGCAGTACCAAGGCTGGCCAGCGGGTGCTCTCAGCAGCCAGACTCTCACTCCTGCAATCAGGCCATCACCTGAGGCTGATTGCAGGAGGTGTATTTAAGCAGGACCAGGCCTGTGATCAGTGCCTTGGTGTATGTTTCCCATGAGCCCCTGTACCTGCATCCTGTCTGCTTCCTGCCTGATCCTGACTCTGAACCTGACTGAACGAACTCCGCCTGTCCTGACCTTGGCTATTCCTGACCACTCTTCCGCTCGTTCCTGGTACCCTGTTTGCCCGTTAGCTACCGACCTGGCCCGCCTGACTACGTTGTGCTCCATATATATATATATATATATAATCAGTTTTGGTTTGGGTTTGTTTCACCTTGTTGTATGTATTTGTGTTAGTTTTGGGTTTGGTTTGTTGCACTGCGTTTATGTTTGTGTTGTCCTTAATAAATTATCTTGTTTACACGCTATACCTGAAGTCTGTGTTTCCCTGTGATGGTCCACACACCTCTGGTCATTCCCGGAGCCCTGACAATCATATATTTTCAGAAAGCACACACCCTGTAGAATAAAATGGTGGTAGTTCAATTTTTTAATTTTACACAATATTAGCACAAACCGTTAATGAAGTGCAAATTGCAATGAAAACCAAAATTTTTTTTGCGCTAGATACGTGATAAATCTAAATCAAGAATATTATAATAAATGCTGCCACTTCTATACAAATAAAATCAACAAAAACAACATTCAAAGTGATTCAGTAGCTCAATAAAATATATATGTGCATATAAATAAATTAGTGATCATTAAAATGTGAAAAAACTGAAAGTCCATAAAAAATCTTTTCCACCAAATGAATCTTCCAATTCCCAAAAGATCACCACATGCAATAAAGATGGCGTTCCCCCTTCGGGTGTGCACTCACCAGATAGACATGCCTCCCATTCTTATGGTTGGGCTAAAATCACTGATAAAGTGGATCCAAATGAGAAGGATTCAGTCAAAATTGGTATTATCACACTCCTCTCTGTTCATTCTCCAATTGCCATGATCAGCTGGCACCACTTCGTAGGTTAACAAATTCCTAATAATGAGGAATTTAGAACAACATGGATAACACTCTCCTTCTCCCTAATCTTTCTCTTTTTTTTTTTTTTTTTTTTTTTTTTTTTTTGGAGTTCAAAGTCTTTATTGTTCAGCTGGTTACAACAAGCAGGGCAAAAGGTGCATTTCAGACACCACACCATCCCCCTACATCAGGGCTGGGTGAAATGGCAGAATGGTAAATGTACTCAAAAGCACTTTTTTTTTTTTTTAATTTAGTCATTTATTAAATTTTTCATGTTAATACAAAAACCCAGAAAGGGAAATAATTCTCATACGAATAAACATTTATAACATTTCTACCTTTCCCTTACTAAAAACTCTTTTCTTTCCCATCCCACTACCCCCCCTTCCCACCCCTCATCCCCCCTCC